GTAAAAAAGAAAAAAAACATCCAAATCTGAAAGCGAAACAACAGCAATAGCAGTGATACAGATGAATTTTCCGACGTTTTATTTCGTCAGTTTAATTTATGATTAAAAATTTTTGATTGGATTTTTTTTTTCGAAACAATTAATGAAACTTCTAATAACAGCTAGTAAAAAGATCATGTTGTTGTATTAAAACCTGATCAACGATTACACTGTATCTGGCATATACTTAAATCAAAAATCCCTTTTTGATTACTGCATTCTAAGAAATCTGAATTCCCACAGTCTTTTAAACAAAAGTACTTGTAACTGAAGAAGATTATTAGAAAAAAACTGCTTTTGTATAATGTATAATTACAATTAGTGGTATTCAGTACTGTTATGTTAACATTTCATATAGTTCGTGCAAAGAAAAAAAAAAGATAAAAAATTAAAAATTAACATTAAAAATTTTTGATAGTATTGTAATCAAAAAATTTACTAATTAAAAAATTCTAGAGACCATGTATTTGGGGAAAAAAAAAGTGCTTAGTTTTTGTCATTGATCGTGGTTTTCAAGGACTATTTGGATTTGTAACTGTTCTATATACAACAAAAAACAGAGACCCATAATGAATATGCTTATATAGTGTTCCATTCCTAGCAAATGAATTTTTAAATTTATTCATTGTTTGCGGTTAAATTCCATATGTTTAATACGATTTTAAAAAAAACTTTAAATCCTATTTAAAAACCTGAATCCCATATATCTGTGTGTTTGCAACTATAAGTAAACAATTTCAAATCATTAACCAACAAAGTTTTGAAAAAAAAAAAAAAAACAAATTTAAAGTTGTCTGAGAAGATGAAGAAGAAGCAAAACTTTTTGCATACACCGTACACGCTACATTTTTTTTTTTTACTTCCAATAAACAGATATTGGTCATCAAACATTGACATTAATTGTCAACTGCTGCAGACAAAAATTTTTCTTTTGAAATATCAGCTGTGCCCATAAACAAACAATTTATAAACATCAGTCATCAAAAATAACATTCAATATTAGTTACAGGCATTGCAAAAGTTTGATCTTGTTAAACAGAACCTACAACTGGGATAGGCATAACGAAAAATCAGTGAACAGTGTTTACATAGATCAATAGCATCATTTGTTCACTTTAATTCGGGTTTGATACCTTATCACCAGTTTGGACAATAAAACAGAATTTTTTTTTTCAATCTTTTCTTGCCTGCTTATCACACTGTTTTCTGACTAAATGACACTGACGCATAAATGTTGTTTCCCAATAAACTGATGATCCAAAAATTTGACCACTAAAACAATAAATTCATTCCTTCTAGTTTATTCTTTATGCTTCACTTATACACTGCTGCATAATTAACGTGATCTAACAGCGGCACATAAATTGTTTTGTTCCAAATACTCCAAACCAGAAAGGCCTTACTACATTTATTTTTTAAGATAATGTTTTAACGTCCTTTGTCCTTTGTCTTTCGTTAGCATATGGCCAACTATCTCATTTAGGAGACGACCGTCAAAAAATCCAATATCAAAGATGCACTCTGAAAACAATTTAACTATTCTTTAAATTAGGTCTGTTATGTTGAACAACTTTTATACAGTTTACCAACTGGTCGCAGCAAACAGAAATAAGTGTAAGTTTTTGAAGCATTAGCGTTTCCTACTGTATGACTGTGCTTTGTGAGAAGTCCATCATCAGGAATTTAATTTTTTCTGCCAGCTTAAAAACATTTATTAGTCAGTTGATCTTGTTTATTCATTACTGCTTGTTGAGAAATAATGCCAAAAAAAAAA